TTGTCGTTCTGTAGTTCCTGTAGCATTTAGATTGTGTCCATAGAATTAAAGTGTTCAATTACTGATATAAGGATAAAATCACATTTGCTTCAGTTATATAGTTAGTTCTAAAAAAAAGTTGTGTATACATATGTATGTTACATATATACAGACACATCATCATTTTTTATTTACCCCTTGTTATATGCTATATCTGTTGATAGGTGTATAAAGTATTCCCTGCCTGTAAAGTTTATTTGCTTTTTATTTATTTTTATTGAAGTATAGTCAGTTACAATGTGTCAAATTCTTGTGTACAGCATAATACATATAGTCATACATATATATACATGTATTCATTTTCATATTCTTTTTCACTAGAGGTTATTACAAGATATTGAATATAGTTCCCTGTACTATACAGAAGAAATTTGTTTATCTATTTTTGTATATAGTTGTTAATATTTGCAAATCAAACTCCCAAATTTATCCCTTTCCACTCTCTTTCCCCTGGTAACCATAAGATCGTTTACTATGTCTGTAAGTCTTTCTGTTTTGTAGATGAGTTCATTAGTGTCCTCAAAGAAGTTTATTTGAAGTAAGTAATAACTCAGGACTGCAAATAAATGTCAGATAAGTTGAGGCAATGCTTTTTGGAGTTCGGAGGAGGGTGGAATAATTTCAAAGGATTTGAAGAAAAGGTATGCTTTGAAGGAAAGGTATTTGGGTAGGTTTGGAAAGGGGGAAAGCACATTGGAGAATAGTACAGAGATACAGAGGCAGGTAAATGTAAGTAGGTTACTTTAATAGAAATGGAAGTTTCATAGAGGGGTGTAGTTCATGAGCCTGGTTGGAACGAGAGTATAGATAGATGCCCATCAATGCTATGCATCGTAGGCATTTGACTTAATCAGTAGGCAGTCAGGTCCAGTGGAGAAGTTTCTGAGTAGGGGACTAATATGCGAATAGCATTTTAGGAAAATTAATCTCATAGGAAGATTAATCCTTGCTTCTTTATGGGTGTATAGCAGGGATCAGCAAACTCATTGTGCCTGTGGCCCAAATCAAGCCTGTGGCCTTTTTTTTTTTTTTTGTAAAGTCCAGTAGCAAAGAATGGTTTTTAATTTTTAAAGGGTTTAAAAACAAATACCAAGAAGTGCAATAGAGACTGTGACCTGTAAACCCTAAAATACTTAATATTTAGCCCTTTACAGAAAAAAATTTGTCGACCCGTAGTGTAGATTAGTGGTTTGCAAAATGTAATCGCTGGGCCAGTGGCATAATGTGTCTATCTATACTCTGTTGTTTTTCTGTATGTGTTGTATCTTTCACTTCATTATTTCAGACCTTATCATATTCCGTCTGGACAGTTATAACTGCCTCCTAAACGCCCTTCTTTCTGTCAGCCTTATCCCCCTTAAGTTCATTCTCTACATTGCTCTCGGGATAATCTATCTGACTACATAACTTCTTTGCAGAAACCTCACTGATCCATCTTGACTGTTAGATAAGGTGTAAGTCCCTTCATGACTTGGCATCTTCCTGTCTCTTTGGCCACTTCCCCCAACCCCATCCCAGTTCTTGTTTTTACTACCCTTAAGCAACGTCTAGCAACTGTTCATTGTTTCTTTAAATACACTGCAGTTTCTTATCACTGTGTCTTTATGCAGTCTGTCTCCTCTGGTGGAATGTACTTTGCTAGAATAACCCCTTCTCATCTTTTAAGCACTCAGGTGTTGATACCTCCTAGAAGCCTTCCCTGGCGCTTTACCTCCCCCTGGCTGTTCTTGATGTTCCTTGGTGTTCCTGTAATACCCTGTGTGTATCTCTATACGTTTACCTTCTTATTTGTTTTATGTGGTCTTCTATAAGGTTATGAACTCCTGGAAGCCGGGGACTATGTCTTACTCATTTTTTTATACCCTAAGTTCTTAGCACAAGTTTTGTACATAATAGATATTCAATAAGTATCTGAATAAGCCAGTTTAAAAAAATTTTTTTTGTACAATTTATTTTTATTTATTTATTTTGGGGGAGGTAACAAGGTTAATTAACTTATTTATTTTTAGAGGAGGTACTGGGGTTTGAACCCAGGACCTTTTGCACACTAAGCATGCGCTTTACCACTTGAACTATGCCCTCGCCCCTGAACAAGTGAATGTTAAAATATTTGGCATGTAGGTATGTAGGTATGGACAGAGATATTGATGTTTAAATCCTGAAGAGCATTGCGGGTGATATGGGACCATTGTTAATCAAGTCTCTGAGTGTAGTATAGGTGAAGAATCTTGGTGGTAGGAAGGGATTAGAAATCCTGATTCACTAGCTGGCGACCTCATTTAATATAAGATTCTTAAGGAAGTGTGCCATACTTACAGAAAAGTGTACAGCTAGATGAATTTACACAAAATAAGCATATCAATGTAATCAGCATCAGCTCAATAAACATCAGTTCAGGAATTTGCAACTACGATGTTCCTTGTATTCTAACTGTAGAAAAGTTTTGTCTGTTTTTGAACTCTATGTAAGCGGAATTATATAGTGTAACTTGTTTGAGCTTCTTTTGCTCAACATTACATTTATGAGATTAATCCATGTTGTATTGTAGTTTGTTTATTCTGGTATTCTATTCTGTGAATAAAACACAGTTTATGTATTCTACTTTTGATGGACATTTGGGTTGTTTACAGTTTTGCTGCTTTGAACATTTTTGTGTTCTTTTTCCTGATGATGAACATATATATGCATTTTTGTTGGGTTTGTACCTTAAGTGGAATTATTAGGTCATGCTTATGGCTATGGTATGTTCAGTTTTAGCAGATTATGCTAAAGTTTTGCAAAATGGTTTTACAAATTTATACTCCCACCAACAGTGCCTTAGAGAATTCCAGTGTTCCATATCTTTGCCAACACTTGGTATTGTCATTCTTTTTATTTTTAGTTATTCTGGAAGGGTGTATAGTGCTATCACATTGTAGTTTTGATTTGATTTTCCTGATGACTAATGAAGTTGAGCACCTTTTCGTATTAGGGGCCCCAAGTTTTATTAGCCATTTGGACTTATTCTTTTGTGAAGTGTCTGTTAAGTCTTTTGCCCTTTTTCTACTACAGTATTTACTTTTTTATATTGGTTGGTACTTCTTTATATATTATGGATATAGTCTTTATAGTCTTTCTAGATACATGTATTGCAGTTATCTTCTACTCTGTAGCTTTTTCAAGATCTTGGTGTCTTGGTGAATCAGAGTCCTTAATGTTAAAGAAGTCCAGTTTATCAATTGATTAGTGTTCTTCTGTTTCCGTGTATGAAATCTCTACGTAGCTCAGTGCCGTGAAGTTAACTTTCTTGTTTTCTTTGAAAAGCTTTATCTTTTCACTTTCCATATTAAGATCAGTAATTCATCAGGTTGATAACTGTGTCCGTATGAAGTAGTTCTATGTTACATAAATTTTTTTGGAAATAAATGTATACATAGAAAAAGTTGAAGTAAATATAACTGTAGAAAAAGTATACAAAATACTTTGATATTCACAAATTTAACATATTCTATGTAACTATCCTCTAGATCAAGAAATAGGACACTTTCAACATCCTGGAAGGCTGTATTACATTTTACTGTTTTCTGAAATTGGTGTACTTTATATCTTAAGTGTGTATTTAATGTGGGAGGGTTCCCCCCCTGGAAAATGGTTGTTATATTGATGGTACATCTTATAATTACTGTGTCATAGAATTGTGGAAATATATCAAAGTCTAATGATTTCATAAAGCATTTGTAAAGTGTTTTTATGGTATAGTTCTTAATAGCAGTCTTACCTTTTATGTTTTAATTCTGTCATATTTCTAAATGTATTTAATAAAATTATATCAAGGTTCTATAGTTGGAAAACGTTAACTTTTTTTGTCATGTATCTTGAGTTCTAGAGTGTCAAAAATATTATCTTTTGAAGAGAGAAAGACTTTAATTTCTAATTTCAAAATGAACTTTCTTAGGTTACTGAATATGGTTTTTTGTATGATGATTTTTTTTTGTGTGTGTCTCATCCTATTATCTTCAAGAAAAAGAAGCAAAGAACAAATTTAATAGGTAAACTGTTCAGATTATTGCTTGATTAGCCCTTTCTCAGTTTCTTTCTTGTCCTCTAATGTGCAATTTCCAAGTCAAAAATCCTCTCTTTCCCTACCTCCATAGTGTAGTTTATATTATCTACTTTTGGGTTTTTGTCCATTTGAAAGAAGATCAAAGCAACAAATAAAAATGTTGTTGCTTCAGTGTGTTCCACAATTGTGTTACATATGTGTGTATATAATCTCTAATCTTCAAAAGGCTTCTACAAGGTGGGTATTTATGGATGTGGATACAGTGACTCAGAAAGGTTGAGTAACTTGTTTCAAGTATAGTAAGTAAGTGGAAGAGCCAGTCTGACTCCAAAACTAGTTTAATGTTAGGGGCAGGGAGGTATGGTGAGATATGTTGCTCCAAACACTGGACTTTTCTGTTTCATTTGGGTTTTTACCAAATTACAGTATGGACATTTAACTCGCATTAATACATTGTTTTTGGTTTATAAAGCATTTTCTCATACATTTTTGACTTTCACAAGTCTTATGATTAGGTATAGGATAGGTAAGATGGGCAGGTCTTTAATCCACCTCCATCTTGCTATTTTATTGATGAGAAACTAAGACTTGGAGGAGGCTAAAAAGCCTGAGTCATACTACTAGTAAAAGCTAGAGCTAGAATTTGAACTTAGGACTTCTAGCTGGAGCCTACTGTTCTATTTATAGTAATGCCAGAGTAAGTGAGAAGTTGAGCTATTTGGAATCAGTAAGCATCTCTGTAATTGTCAGGTAAATATATTATAAAATAATAAAAGCATAATTAAAACCACTTACAAATATTGAATATTACTTATACTGTATAAATACTGGCAAGGGAATTGATATATTTTAATTAGGATAGTCGTAGGGTTTGAATTGGGCCTCACAAAACTTGACACTTCTGCAGAGGCTTGCTTGCTTTCTTTCTTTCTTTCTTCCTTTCTTCCTTTCTTTCTTTCCTTTCTTTTTTTAAGACAGGGAATACTTTATTCAAATCCATCAGAGAAATGGATAGCTTGGGCCTGTAACAAAGCGTTGTGTTTTAAAGCATAGGTCAGTAATTGTGTATGAGAGTATACACTGCTACATACAAATTAACTGATCAGACCACAACTTTTCAATGTTGAAAACAGAATAAACTTCCCTGTAAAAGCAGCACCTTTGTGACATTTGACTTGAGTATTCCTCTCCTTCTTCCTCTCCCTCTCCTTGAACAGAATCTACACCAACCTCCTCATAATCCTTCTCAAGGGCAGCCATGTCCTTACGGGCCTCAGCAAACTCTCCTTCCTCCATGCCCTCACCCACATAACAGTGAACAAAGGCATGCTTGGCACACATCAGGTCAGACTTGTGGTCCAGGTAAGCCCAGGCCTCAGCAGTGGCTGTGGTGTTCCTCAGCATGCACACAGCTTCCTGTGCTTTGGCCAGGTCTCCACCAGGTACCACCGTGGGAGGCTGGTAATTAATGCCAACTCTGAAGCCAGTGGGGCACCAGTCCACAAACCGGGTGCTGCACTTGGTCTTGATGGTGGCAATGGCAGCATTGACATCTTTGGGGACCACATCACCATGGTACAACAGGCAGCAAGCTATGTATTTACCATGGCGAGGGTCACATTTCACCATCTCGTTGGCTGGCTCAAAGCAAGCATTGGTGATCTCTGCTACAGAAAGCTGTTCCTGATAGGTTTTCTCAGCAGAGATGACAGGGGCATATGTGGCCAGAGGGAAGTGGATGCGAGGATGGGGCACCAGGTTGGTTTGGAATTCTGCCAGATTGACATTCAGGGCTCCATCAAGCCTCAGGGAAGTGGTGATGGAGGATACAACTTGACCTATCAACCTATTCAGGTTTGTGTAGGTTGGGCGCTCAATATCGAGGTTTCTACAGCAGATGTCATAGACAGCCTCGTTGTCTACCATGAAGGCACAATCAGAGTGCCCCAGGGCGGTATGGGTGGTCAGGATAGAGTTGTAGGGCTCAACTACAGCTGTGGAAACCTGGGGGGCTGGGTAAATGGAGAACTCCAGCTTGGACTTCTTGCCATAATCGACAGAGAGACGTTCCATCAGCAGGGAGGTGAACCCAGAACCAGTTCCCTCACCGAAGCTGTGGAAAACCAAGAAGCCCTGAAGACCTGTGCACTGATCAGCCAGTTTCCGAATTTGGTCCGAGACGAGGTCAGTGATCTCCTTGCCAATGGTGTAATGACCGCGGGCATAGTTATTGGCAGCATCTTCTTTGCCTTTGATACGCTGCTCAGGGTGGAAGAGCTGGCGGTAAGTGCCAGTGCGAACTTCATCAATGACTGTGGGTTCCAGGTCTACGAACACTGCTCTGGGCACATGCTTGCCAGTGCCCACTGAAGAAGGTGTTGAAGGAGTCGTCTCCTCCCCCAATGGTCTAGTCACTTGGCATCTGGCCGTCGGGCTGGATGCCGTGTTCCAGGCCATAGAGCTCTCAGCAGGCATTGCCAGTCTGGGCACCAGCCTGGCCAACATGGATGGAGATGCACTCACACATAGTTGCTGTTTTGTGGCTGCCGAGGAGATGGAGGAGAGGAGGAGGAGAGGTTGTTGCTTCTTACAGTGCGACTCTTAAGCGGTTGATGTAAGAGAACCTGAGGCTTTATTTAACATTCACTGATTCAGTATTGAACAAACTCAGTTCTGCATGAAAGGTACTGGTCTAGGGACTAGGTGCATAGCAGGAGATGAAACAGACAAAATATCTGTAGAGTTTTTATATTTTAATTGAGGGAGACAGACAATAAGGTAAGTAAGTGGAACATACTGTATGTTAGAGGAAAGTGTTATGGAGAATTATAAAGAAAATAAAAGGAGAGCTGGCACATAAGGCATGTTAAAAAATTGGAGAAAAGCTTGCAATTTTAGATAGCAAGGAAAGGGTAGACTTCACTGAGATGGCATTTGAGTGAAGACTTGAAGTGGGTAAAAGAACAAGCCTTGTATTCCAGATAATCTTAAGGGCTGGATAATTTTTGGCTGAGGGTACAGCATGTTCAAAGGTCCTGTGGCTAGAGCAGGCCTGGAGGATTTGAGAAATGCAAGGAGGCCATTGCAACTAGAATGATGTGAGCCAGTCTGATTTGAGGTTAAGAGGTAAATTAAAGGCTAGAGCAGAGCACAGAGGTGCTGTCAGATGACATTAGGTCTGGAAGACCACTGTAAAAACTTACTTGAATGAGATAGCTGTTGGAAGGTTTTGAGCAGTTGATGACATGGTCTAATTTAAATTTGCTAGAACCACTTAACTGCCATGTTCAGAGTAGACTACAGCTGGGGAGTGGTGAAGGCATTGGCAAGGGCAGAAACAGGGAGACTAGTTAAGAAGAAAGCAGCAGTCCAAGTGAGAGATGGTATGGTTTGGACTGAGTAATGACAGTGGAGGTGAGTAAGAAGTGGTTGATTACTGGATATATTTTGAAGGTAGAGCCAAAAAGATGTCATGACATGCTTAAAGTGGGGTGTGAGAGAGAGGAGTCACGGATATCTCTTAAGGTTTATCCTTGAGCAATTGCAATAATGGAGTTACTTTTATCCTAGATAGGAAAGACTTAAGACAAACAGGTTTGGAGGGGGAAGGTTAGGAGCTCAATTTTGGTTTGTTAGGTTTGAGATGTTTACTATATAGTTAAGTGGATACGTGAGTGTGGAGTTAGGGGAGAGTCCTAGAGTGGAGATATAAAATTGGAAATTATCGTTATGTATATAATATTTAAAGCCAAGTATCTGGATGAATCACCATAGGAATAAGAGTAGCCAGAAAAAGGGTTTCTGAATGAGCCTGAGAACATTTTCAGCTTGAAGAAGTTGAGGAGGTGAGGGAGATAGTGTAAAGAAGATAAAGTATCTCATGAGGAGGAGAATGAGATGTCCTGGGAGCCAAGTAGAGAAAATGCTTTAAGGCATCTCAACACAATTTATATGGATTTTTCTGGGCGTTTTTTTTCTTGACAGACACATATAATCTGGCTTAAGCCATCTGGTTTTAGCCATCTCTTATGCTGCTGCCAGAGCTTCCTAACAGGTTGCCTAATTTCTATTCTGTTCTTTACACAGCAGCCTAAGAGATCTTTTGAAAATGTAAGTAAGGTAATATTCTTTTCTCAAATCCTCTATCATACTTAAAATCACATTTAAAATCCTTGCCAAGGCTTAGAAGATTTTACATGCTTTGACCTCTGTTTAACTGTCTCATTTCATCTCCTACCACTTGTCCTTTACCTTATGCTGCTGCAGCCATTCTGGCCCTCTTGCTATTGTCCAGATATGTCAAGTTTGTTCTTGCCTTAGGACTTCTGCATGGACTTCATAATATTGACTAACCCTGGCTTGATAGTCAAGGAAAGGATATATTTATTGACTCCCTTATTTTGTTAGTCACTAGTAGGAGGCGAAATAGGCGAAATGTTGAAAATGAATGAGGTAACTTTTCCTAAAGTGTTCTGAGAAACAGTAGTCCCTGGAGATGCCTTTGCAGAAGGGGTTTATGGTCAAATAAGTTTAGGAAGTGTTGCATCTATTTTTCTCCCTCGGGCCCAGACTACTAACAATAGACTTGTTTTATGGCTCATTACATGGTCTGTCTTGGTGAGTGTTCTGTGTTCATTTGAAAATAATCTATGTTTTCTATAGTTGTGGGGTAGAATGCTCTCTAAATGTTAATTAGATTAAGTTGGGTTATTGTAGTTAAATCTTCTACATTTCTGTTGATTTTCCTTTTCTTTCTGTCAGTTCCTGAGAGCATTGTTGAAATTTCCAACCATAATTCTGGATTTGTCTATTTTTTCTTTTAGTTTTGTTGATTTGTTGTTTCAGGTATTTTGAATCTCTGTTATTTGATGTACATGTTTGAGGTTATATTCTTTTGATTACTTGGCTATCATGTACGTCCCTCTTTATATCTGGTAGTATTTCTTGCTCTGAAGTGTTTCTTGTTTTTTTTTTAGTAAAGCCAGTCCAGTTTTCTCATGGTTAATATTTACATGGTATCTATTTTTCCATCTGTGTTGGGGGTCAACAAGACTACCTTCAGGTTTGATGATTTGTTAGAAGCATCACAAAACTCAGAAAAGCTGCTATACTTACAGATGTGATTTATTAAGAAGAAAGAATACAGATTAAAATGAGGAAAAGGTACATACGGTGGCATCCAGGAGAAAGCACGTGTGAGTATCCAGCTGTCCTCTCTGTGGAGTTGCTTGAACAGCCTTTAATTCTCCCATCAGTGATGTGTGACAGCAAGTGTGACTTCACATTTGCCAACCAGGGAAGCTCAGCGAGGCCTTGGTACCCAGGGTTTTAATTGGGGGTCAGTAATGTAGGCATAGAGCACCCTTGTGACTGACTTTAGCTACTCAGTCTCTAGCCCTCCTCTCTCCTGCATAGGTCACGCTGGTGCATTGTGGCCCAGGGTACCAGGAGAACAAAAATAGCAGTTCACCATAAATCACATCATTAGCATAAACTGTCTGGCAAGGCCCCAGGTATACGAAGACACTTAAAAAAAATTGTGGTGAAATATATATAACATAAAATTTACAATTTTACCAATTTCTCAGTGTACACATATCTGACATAAGTACATTCGTATTATTTACACCATCACCAGTATCCATCTCTAGAATGTTTTTATCTTTTCCAACTGAAAGTCTATACCCATTAAGCACTTAACTGCCCATTGACTCCTCCCCGCAGCCCTGGCAATCACTATTCCACTTTCTGTGTCTATGATTTTGCCTATCCTAGGTGCCTCATTTAAGTGGGCTCATAAAATATTTGTCCTTTCATGTCTGGCTTATTTCACTTAGCATGTTTTCACAGTTTATCCATGTTGTAGCATATATCAGAATTTCATCCCTTTTTAAAGCTGAATATTCATGTACCATATTTATTCATTTATCTGTTGATAGACATTTCAGTTGTTTCTACCTTTTGGCTTTTGTGAGTAAAAATGCCATGAATGTTGGTGTACAAGTATCTGCTTTCAGTTCTTTTGAATACCTATCTAGGAGTAGAATTGCTGGGTCATATGGTAATTCTATGTTTAACTTTTTGAGAAACTACCAAACATTTCCACAGCAGTCACACAATTTTAGATTCCTACCAGCAGTGCAGGGGGGTTCTCCTTTTTTCTCATCCTTGATGACACTTGTTGTTTTCCCCTTTTTTAGGTAATAGCCATCCTAACAAGTGTGAATTTGTGTCACTATGGTTATGATTTGTATTCTTTAATGACTGTGTTGAACACCTTTTCATGTCCTTATTGGCCATTTGTATATCATCTTTGGAGAAATGTTTATTCAGGTCCTTTGCTCATTTTTGAATTGTTTGTTTGTTTTTTTGTTATTGGAATTGTAAGAGTTCTTTACGTATCTTCTGGAAAGAAATCTTTTATCAATACATGATTTGCAAGTATTTTCTCCCATCCTGTAGATTGTCTTTTTACTTTCTTGGTAATATTGTTTCATGCACAGATGTTTTTAATTTTGATGAAATTTAATATTATCTGTTTTTTCTTTTGTTACTCATACTTTGGTGGTATATCTGAGAAATGACTGGCAAATGAAGATTTTCCTCTGTATTTTCTTCTGAGAATTTTATAGTTTTCAGCTCTTAACATTTAGAGTTAGGTTTTGACTATGGGACGAAGTAGGAGTTCCACTTCACTATTTTGCATGTGCATTTCCAGTTGTCTCAGCACTGTTTGTTGAAGAGACTGTTCTTTCCTCATTGAATGTTCAAATCACTGGGCCATAGATGTCTGGGTTTGTTTCTGGACTCAGTTCTATTCCATTGGTCTATATGTCTGTCTAGCCTATGTCACTAGCATACTGTCTTGATTTCTGTAGCTTTTATGCCCCATTTTTTAAAGGTAGTTTGGTAGGTGTTGAATTCAGTGAGTATATTGACATTACTTCTAGTGTTTTATAAGTGTTCTGTTGTATTTTGGCTTGCACAGCTTCTGAGTATTCTGAGATTTTAAAATATTTGTTCCTCTAAATAGAGGATATCTTTTTTCCTCTGGTTGCCTTAAGAGTTTAAAAAATTATTACCATTTTCCTGCTATTGTATTATCATGTGCCTTTGAATAATTTTCTTTGAATTTAATCCTCTTTGAGATTTGTCAAGTTTCTTGGATCTGTGGGTTGTAGTTTGTAGCAAATTTGGAAAAACAGTCATTGTTATCATCTCATATTTTTCTTTTTCACTTCCTTTGTTTTGTAGACTCCAAATAAAAGTATGTTAAATAGCTTAATACTGTCCCACTGTTCACTGAGAATTATTTTTTCCTTTTTCCTTTTTTTGGCTTCCTTTTGGATAATTTCTTTTGCTTTGTCTTCAAGTTCACTGATTTTTTTTTCTTGTGCAATAACTAATTTTGCTTTTAGTCATCAGTGACATCTTTTAAGTATGAAAGAGTTAAATTAACTGCTGATCATGGTTTCACCTGAATGTTTTCTTGTTAATTACTTTATTCATTACTGTTTTGTTTTATTTTTATTTTTTCAGATGATTAGTTTATTTATAGGTTTTAAAGAAGTTACTGTCTTGTAGCCTAGAAATCAGATTGACCAATGCTTATTTTTCTGGCGTAAGTATTTAGTTGCTAGCAATGCTATTTTGTCTCAGAGCTGGAAAAAAGAGTAAAACTTTTTGTTTTTCTGAGATCAGAGCTACCTAGAAATTGAAAATACATTTGTATTATGGTTTAATATTGGTTTAGGATTATTTTCTTTTAAATTAAATTATAAATTTGAATACATTTGTGTGTTCTAAAAATTAAAGATACTCATTGAGAAGTCTCATTCCTATGCCATTCTGTGTATTTTATATTTCCCTTCCCTTGTAGGTAGTTGTCTTTATCAGTTTCTTGAGTGCCCAGTGTTTCTTTATGCATATAAAAGCACATCTGAATATGTCATCATTTCCTCCTTTTCAGCGAATGGAAGCTGTAATGTAATAAGTGCCACTCTCATATTTTGTTGTATACTTTGCCTTTTCGTACTTAAATTTAATAATTGAAGATCTTTCCATATTATAACAGAGTCATTGTGCTACCTATCCTACCTCCTTTTTTGGTCAGTTCTTATTCTGGTTCTTCAAAGGAAGAT